GAAAATCGGTAATTTGGAATTTAATGCCATTCAAAAATTTCTTTAAAAAGAATTTCAAATCATCGATATAATCCTACATACATCTTAAAGATACACAAACACAATTATGCTTGCTCTTAATAATTGCCCTTTAAGTAAGATGATCTCCGAAGCAAAGAAAAAAGTTCAATTGGTTTTATTACGTAACAAGCTCTGCTTAGTGTTCGTTTGAGAAAGTGTTATATATCTTCGCTAACTTCAGAAACAGTTTTTCAACGATTCAGAGTAAAGATGAGGACATTTTATGAGGAAAATATTTACGTTTTGCTCGATCAGCAGTTAACTTCGTCACAAAATGAAAATTTGACTAGCTGTCCATTAGTAAACAGAGAATTGGAATTTCGTTTTTAATAACAACTAATTAAGCCCTGGTGCATCAGGATCTAGAGCGCTCGCCTATCAATGAGGTTCCCGGGTTCGATCCCAGCGGGGGCTGATCGATGCTATTCGACGGTGACAATCGATCGATTCGCATGATCACAGTGCTGACGTAAAATATCTTCAGTGGTGGACGGATTACGGGTTAGAGTCCCTTTCCGTCAGGCTAACCGTGGGAGATTTTTTTGCTTTTCTTCTCCGTGTAACACAAATTTGGGTAGTTACATAAAAAAAAGTCCTCCACGAAGGCAAATGCCTCCCAATATTTCACCCGGGAGTTTTCTAGCCTTCTGGATTAGGTTCAAAATTAGAAGATTACGGAGTTGAACATTGGTAGTCGTTAACTCAAAATTGGTTCGGCTACTCAACAGCAGTTATATATATAGAAAAAACAACAGCTATTGACTACTGTACAATTTCGTTGATTAAATCTGAAAAATATTTTGGCTGAAAATTTTTCATTTTTATTTGAATTCGATTCTGATACCTTTGTGAAATTTCCGTTTAAAAGGGAACGTGTCATTAATCTTATTTGAAAATTCTTTATCTGAACGTCGTATATACCTGAAATTGCCTTTTAAATATTGCTTCCAAAGGAAAGAAAAAATAAGAATCAAGGTCACGACGTTCATAGTAAAACGATCCGATAATAGATCATCTCCACGGATGAGTGACTCAAAAGTAACGTAATGTACAACAGGATGATCATAATAATGGCATCATGAGGTCTTGAACCTGCTGAGCATGATTTTAAGTAAGCGCGGATAATTTCCAACATTTTAGAGACAATTGAGAACCTTAAAAAGGAAAATAAGCGAAGCGTGGCGGCTGAAAGATGAATTGGTAATGGCTATGAAATCGGATAGTGCTGAATGGAATTTACAAAAGGGATATAAATAAAAGTAAAATTTGGTTGGACAGTTTGAAATTGACTTACTGTTGCAATTATCTCTTTTAAAGTAGGGCGACTAGGAAAAATTAATTACAAGAAAAGAATAGTTAAGCGAAATATTATTTTCAAAGATTTTTTTTTAAATTAGAAACAACAACAAAAATTTATAATTGGAGGAAATCTATAAGAACAATAAAAAATTATCATGCTTTTAGTTCAAATGAACTTGAATGTAAAACAAACATTAATATTGAATTATTTACAAGTTGGAAAATTTTTGTTTCAAAATAAACGTTAAATTATCAGAAATGTAAATCTCATAATTAATTAAAAAATGGATGATTTTGTAGATAAAGAATGATTCGTGGCGCAATCAGCAATGGCAATATGAAAATATCATTGTGACCTTAACCACGCATGTACCGATTTTATAATTCTGTTTATTTAACTTCATAAATGAATGAAAAAAGAACATTTTTATTTAATTTGGGAACATCAGTTTTAGAAATTATAGGACCAGCGTATTAGTTTATTTAAACAAAATGCATTTTCTTATTTATAAGAGTATTTTTATTTATTTACTTTCTTTAATGGCCAAGCAGAATTTTTTTTTTAGTTCTTTACATATATAATAACATGCACATAATTACATGTTCAGCTTTTTCAAACTGTCAGGGTGAACTTTCTTACGCTTAATCTCTTAAAATAGATTATGATTTAAGACTAACAACTGAACATGCAACGAATCATACATGCAAAGTTTTTACGGCTATCTTATATACAGATGTCCAAGCCAGAGGCTGCACTATATCATTTGGGGGGAATAAATTAACTGTCGTTTGCACCAGTTCTATTGGAGAATTCAAATTTCCATTTCAATAGAAAAGTATTCCTATTGGTTACTATCTGCATAAAATATATTCGAAACTTAAATAATATTTTGAATTTATGTTTTTCGTCAACATTTTTTTTGAACTAGGGTACTCGCACCTTAAGAAGATCATGGATTACCACACATGTGACTTATGACGTCAGCGCCAGCTGATCATTTTATTTTTATTTCATAACCGTCGTTGAACAGCCGACCCAATTTTGGGTTTATGACTACTAATGTTCAACTCCTTAGACTTGTAATTTTGAACCAATCCAGAAGACAAGGAAACTCATGGATCAGTACCTCCAGAGTTATGATTTGTTATGGAAATATGGAGGACTTTGTGACTCGACATATTTAACGCGCATCAGTCACCATCGGCCGGCGGGGATCGAACCCATGACCTCTTGGACATGGGCCCATGCCTTACCAAACAGGCTATCCCGGCCTAGCTGATCATTTATAAGCAAAATTGAGTGTTAAAGTTGAGCTAAGTTTCACACATAAGTTAGAATGTTAATTAACATGAAGTTAATTAAATAGAGCTGTATTGTGCATCGAATTTGTTGAAATATAATTCTTTAACGGATAGGTCTTTTACTTGAGAAAGAATATTTGTGTAAGAATATAGAATCTGTCACTTAAGAGAATTAATTAGCTTTTAAAAATCGAATGGAAAGAATAGTTGCTAACGTAAACAAATGCCACGCTTCAACAACCAATCAAGATCGAGATACCCACACTACGTCACTTGCAACTATCCCAATTACTCAAAAATAACAGAGTTTATTGCTTTTTTTTTTCTTCATATACAATTTCTTTGCTCATTTGATTCTAAACATTCGAAAAATTTAAGTATTTTATTAACTACGAAAAGAATCAAAAACATTTTTAAAAAAAAGCAGCCCAGCATTAGTGGCATAACTTGTTTGTTTCTTTACATGTCTGACTACTATCGAGAAAACACAACAACAAATAAAAATATTCCAGATAAGTATGCTTCTATCTTGAATGCAGGGGAAATCTTATAATGGAAGGGAGCGTATTCGGTAGATAAGAGTGGTGAGAAACATAGGAAAGTCATTAGTAGTAAGTCGGTAAAAAAGAATTCTGTTCACTGGTTCACTGAATCCACCAGCAAGGATACATCAACCGTGAAACTATTAGAGATAGTAGGCAATTCGCCAAAAGTAACGGCCATACTAATAAATTGCGGCTGATGTAATGCTCAGAAAATGATTTCAAAAATTTCACTATTTACGTTAGCGCATATTTTACAGGTTACATTTTACGCAAACTAACCAAGCTGAAATTTATAGCAAAATACGAAGCGTGAAAAAACTTTAAGGGCACTTAAATCATTGCGAACTTAAATTGTTTTTAAAAAGAACTTTTGCGAAATTTGATTTTTAATGCTTATTATAAAGCAACAGAGCCATGATGACTCAGGCAGTGCTTCCCAAACTTATGACTTTTGTGTACCCTTTCTAAATTTTTTGTAACGCTGTGTGCCACTAACAAAAAAATGAATGTATTTTTTTAAAAATATGCTTATTTTTACAGTAAAAAAATTGCACAAATCATAACCGGCTGTTAAAAATCACAACTGGCTGTTGACACCACCAATTATTAACTCTGCAAAAAATAGCCTATAGAAAAATACGTAATCGTAAATTTTCCTGGCTAGCTTTGTTTTTTAATAAAAGTTTTTGAAATTTTCGTTTGTTGCAAAAAATTTCGCATAAGAAAGCGTAGCCCCGATAAACTGTTCCCGTACCCCTGAGGTTACGCGTACCACACTTTGGGAAACACTGGCTCAGGGGATAGAGATTCCCCGTTCCAATAAGGTGAACCGGGTTTGAATCCCAGTGATGGCTGGTTGATACGAATTCCGCATCTGGCTTGCACCGACCACAGCGATGACGTGAAATATCCTCAGTGTTAGACGGATCATGGGTTAAAGTCCCCTTGCCGTCAGGCTAACCATGGGAGGTTTTCCTCTCCATGTAACGCAAATGGGGGCTATTTCCCTTAAAAAGTCCTCCACGAAGGCAAAATTTCTCCTAATACTTGATCCAGGAGATCCCTTGTCTTCTGGATTGGGTTCAAAATTACAAGGCTATGGAATTGAACATTGTAATCGTAAACCCAAAAAATATGGTCAGCTGTTCAACGACGGTTATAAGTATAAATAAATATTATAAAGCAACAGAAAAAAAATAAAAATGTGAAAAACTGATTTGAAATATATTTTAATAATAATATTTTTATATGAAATTATTTTTTGTATAGAAATTTTCTTATAAAATACTTTAAACCTCGTAAAATCTTTAAGGAGGCTTGAAAAACCTTCCGAGGATTTTTATTTCAAAGACGATTCGAACAGTTTTTGTTTCCCGAAAAACTATTTATAACTTATGGGGAAAACACTAAGGCTCCAATAAAACTTTTTGTAAAATTATTACAGTTCTTTTTATTCAAAACATTTGCCAATTTTATAACATGTTTTCTAGATTCTAGAAGAATAAGTGTTTTTTTTTTTCTTCAAATTTTTACGAAACATTTTTCATAAATGAACGCAGCAACGATTAAATTAAAGAAAAAATGCAAATATTTTCTATCTTTTAAAAATCTGTAGAATTTAAAACAACTTCAAATATATTAAAAAAAAAAATTCCCCCCAACAGATTTTCTGTTATAATATTTCTTGAGAATCCTGGTTTTCAGAAATAACATTTAATTTCTTATCAAAATAAAATAATGACATTATGTAAATATTGTCAACGAAAGAGGTAATATTTATGCGTAAAAACTTACACTTTTCCAGGAGGTATTTCTCGAACACATTCACCTGTCGTCAGATTGGCATACATTGTCACCTTCGTTATCGGCTCCACAATCTCCACCCATTCTGGAGAAGCCATCCTGCTGCAAATAAGATTACATTTGGTATAGTCTAAAAAATTCAACTCATACAATAAGATATAAAACATAAAAAAGGAGGAAAAAAACAAAACTATTGATATTCTTGTAGGAGTAATATTTCACGTTGCTATAAAGCTTCATTTCAAATTTTAATTAATCGATTTACAGCAGCATGATGGACGCACATATACAGAGCACATAAAATAAACGGAACAACCTGAATAACTTTTGAAAAGATGATGAGATCTTTACTTTTTAGGACTCAATCTTAAAGGTTCAAAGGGGTGACATCATGTTATTAAATTAGTGCAAACGATATTTTAAGTTACGAAACCAGACACATAAACGTACTTTCTCCAAATAAATATACCTTTTTTTCCGACCGATTCGAATTGCTGATCCCTAAGATAAAGGGAGTAATCTGGAAAATATGGTCCCGATAGTCCAAAGTTTGACCCCTTATTTCTAATTTCACTTTCTGCGTATTTCACTATATTTCGAATACATTTTAAGGCAGTTGAAAAATTTTTGCACACAATTATAAATTTTCCTTTCAAAGATAATTTTATGCGAAATATAACTTATAAAAATATAAATTATAGAAAAATGACATTTTCGAAATTCGTTTATTCAGGAACTATTAGACGCTTAAGTTTCGTATTTCACCATTTAAAAATGGATTCTTTAAAATGATGTAAAAATTTGCATATCTTACAATTCAAAGCTTTTTCAACTATGTATTATTAAATAAAATTATGAAAAATAATAAATATTTGCTATAAGTTATATTTCGTATGGAATTTATCTTTGGATAAACGAATTTTACAATTGCGTGCAAGAAAAATTCAATTCTCTTAAAGAATTCTCGAAATAGGGTGAAATACGTAAAAAGTAAAATTAACATTAAGGGGTTTAAACTTTGAACCGCTGTCCTGACCAAACTATAGAGTCCATATTTCCCAGATCACGTCTACCCCTATATTTTAGAGGTCAGAAATCTGAATTTGTGGAAAAAATGGTATGTTTGTTTATTCGCAACTCAAAATATCGTCTGCACTAATCATTTTTGAGGTCACTCCTTTGCACCTTCTGGGAAAGCGAAGACAAAAGTTATTCAGGGTGGTCCGTTTTTTATCTGGCGCTCTGTACAGTTATACATATCATCACATATTTTATTTGACGTATCTAATACCAGAATTTAAGTTGCTTACTTATTTTTATATGGGTTGGTTTTTCTATGGTTGTAATTTTCTCATAATATAATAATCAGCAATTATGCTTAGACCATCACGTGATAGAGAGCAAGAAATATGTAAAATTATTAAACCAGGCTTGATGAGAGGCAAGGGGAAAATTATATTTACAACTACCTTTGAAACTAGGAATGCAACCAGCAGGGTCCAAAGGACCCAAAAAATTTTCGATGCTCCACCTTAAACTGCCAGATAAAGCTGAAGTTCCATCACCGGCTCCGGCAATTTTAGCATTTATTTTTGAGCGTTTTTGAGTTTTACATTTTAATTTAAATCAGAGTAAAGTTATTTGTTCATTAAAAAAAGAATTGAATAAATCCATCTTCATATTTGATCGTATGCCAAAAATAGTCTTTCTATGGCAACTTGAAATTATGTAGGAAATTGCTAGAGTCCTGGAACATGGAAAAATTTCCAGGTCCAGGGAAAACAGTTTTAGAAAGACCGGTTCCGGATACCTGGTAACCAGAAAATCAGGTCTTACGACAGAATTTCCTTATTCCTCGCTCCTTATTCCTCGAAGAATATAAACTACTGAAAGATTCTATGACTATGACTTTTATTAGTATAGTTTGAAACAAAATAGAAAAGTTTAATAAAATATCTGAGGTTTTGACTAACTTTTTATGTTTGTTAACCATTTGATTTTATGGTATTTGTGTCAAAATAATGTTAGCTGAAGATATATAATTTTATAAAAAACATTTGATGAAATAAAAATTTTAAAATAATAATTCATGAAAATTTTTATATTTTTATCAGTATACAATCGCATTATTTTTAAACATCAACACAGATTTTTATCTTCTCTTTTTACAGAAAATGTTTGCATACACTTTTACCATACTAAAGAAGATGAAGACTGAAGAAGAGTTTGCTAATAGCGGAAAAGCAAGATGTGAAACCTATAGCTACATATTATACTAACTAATTATAATAAATAAATAAATGTATAAAAATAATCTAAAAGATTCGTAAAATTTTTAATTATAGCTTAGATCTTTTTTCTTAAGAGAAAATTTAAAGCAAATAATATAGAAGTATAAAACATATTGATTTATTTAGGAATTAAAATCTGATTTTTTTTTTTAAAGAACCTCCAAGATAGTATATAGTAAGTTTGAGTCTCGAACTGATACGATAGGTACGCGAGTACCAACTAAATGCTGCAAATATCAGTACAAAGTCACGCATACGTTTTAAATAATGCACTAGAATAAGAAGGATTAAATAAAAGTAATTAGAAATGCAAGAAAACAATAAAATAATTATAGTTGTTGAAGCAGGGTTCACCTCTTTGGACATGGGCAAAATTGGGAAACTTTTTCTTTTTGAATATTAATGAATAGCTTTACAAAAGACATGTTGTAATGTAAGAAATATTAATGAAATTTATAATTAGACAGATCTCAATGGAGATTTTATTGTGATAACAAGGCAAACGACAGCGATATTTAAAAACATTGTTTCGATTCGCATTGTATTAGGAACTGATTTTAAAATGATGTGTTGGGCAACTGGGAAATTACTTTTCTAGATGTCTAATACTTAACAAGTTACTACTTACTTTAGTAGATGTCTAATACTTAAAATGCTTACGATTGTCGAATAATTGTTAGAAGCGAAGCATAAAGGATACGCTTGTCAACAAAAAAAAGCAAGCATTTTATTAATCATTCCTGTAACATTTTTTTCTTATAATAAAACACAGTCACTAATGTATAAAAATGTGGAGGAAGAAAGAAAGACGACAGAAAGGTACAAAATAAATAATAAGAAGCGAAAAAATACATAATAACAAAGCAGACATGTTGCAAAATCACGGAGCTTCTTTTTCAAAACCTACCTAATGACAAATACTGTCACAAGAGGCCTTAAGTATGTGTTGTGATACGAATACTAATAAAATTAATTATTAGGCATTTCCAGTTCGAGATTAAATAATGATGAATATTCAGACAGGCGATAGCCAGAGAAAAATGATATTTTGGACATGGGAATAGAAGAGTATTTTCACGACCTGTTTCAATCTGAGGATGTTGGTGGACAGGTGAGAAATTACATTTACAGCTGTCTTTGAACATCGTGTATGCAGTAGCAGAAATGCCACGAACGTATCCCTACTGGTATTAAATGACTATTTTGCAAAATGCTAAGCGTCAGTCTTACAAAGAGAATAAATTTAACACATGCTTATGAAAAAAAAAAAAGATGATATTTTAAAACTGATAAGGGTGTTGATTTCAATTATAATTCACCTGTCTTATTATTATTAAAGATTCAAAGCATAACTTAGTCATTTAAGTCTCATTCATGTCGGTTGTGGGGTGTTTTGAAACAGCTAGACACAATTTATAATTGAGTAATGTAAGGACAAAAAGGAGGATAAACAAAAAAAATAGTTTCAATTTTTTATTGGTTCGATTGCAATTTTAAGCAGAGATTTGTTTTGGTGCAAATCTAAAAAATAATATTATTTTATTTATTTTCTTTGCACTTTTGAGCAGAAAATGATTTTGATTTTACTGCAGCAATTTCACAAAATTAGAAAAAGTTGGGGAGACAGTTCAATACTTTCTGAGAAATTGCTTTACTTGGAATCATAATTAGGAGTATCTGGAATAATGCTTTAAATTTACCAAAAACAGGGGTCTGTCCAGACATTTTGTGAAAGGTCCGTTTTTCGTGAAATTGTAAAAAAAATTACTCACATTCTTTCAACTAGGGTCCGCTTTTATGAATTTGTGCAAATAGGGTCCATTATTGCAAAAAAAAAATTTTTTTTTCAAGGAGATTTTAAATTGTAAAGACATATAAGATTATGCTCAACACTGTAAAACTATAATTAAAAAAATTTAATTTTAAAAAATAAACAACAATTGCTGCTTCTAAATTAGAGATGCAACATACAAATATTTATCCATTTTTGCTCAGGATTTTGAGAGGGAAACATTGTTTCACTTTCCGAGACTGCTGAAGCATCGCCAAGAAAATAATTCCTATATTGATAAACACCATTTTAATACAATAATTTTAAATATGAGGGAAGCATTTCTCAGCAGGTTTCAGGAATTTAAAAACAGCTGAGCAACTTTAGCATTTGTCAAAAATCCTCTTAATGCTACGATAACCGAGTTGAAATTTTCTCCTTTTGAAATTGACATTGGTAGCTTTGAAATACAATTCCTGGATTTAAAAAACAAGGAGATATGGCGCTCTAAATTCGAACGTCTTTGTGTTGAATTGGAAATATTGGAGAAGAAAAAATTTNATATATATATATATATATATATATATATATATATATATATATATATATATATATATATATATATATATATATATATATATATATATATATATATATATATATATATATATATATATATATATATATATATATATATATATATATATATATATATATATATATATATATATATATATATATATATATATATATATATATATATATATATATATATATATATATATATATATATATATATATATATATATATATATATATATATATATATATATATATATATATATATATATATATATATATATATATATATATATATATATATATATATATATATATATATATATATATATATATATATATATATATATATATATATATATATATATATATATATATATATATATATATATATATATATATATATATATATATATATATATATATATATATATATATATATATATATATATATATATATA